ATTATGGATTTGATCATGCTGCGGTTTATACCAAAGAAATATTTGATTACATGAGTAGTGCAAAAAGGTTTTGACAATATTCTTGAAACGATGGTGGTTATTTATCAAATAAACAATACTGATTCTAGAAATTGTCCCGGTGATTATTAATTCTGCCTTGTGTGTATTGTTGATGCCACAGTGCGGTACTACTGGGATGGAAGATCTCTATATGCGTAAAATATCCTTAAATCATTTCCGTTAATTCCCTACAAAAACAGCAGATTCTGATGTCAGCTTCTAGAAGTTAATCTGAAAGGCCATCCACGTTGGAGAAAAGTCAGTTGACCAAGTCTATTGAAAGTGGAGGCTTATAACTCCTTGTAATTTTGGGCGTCTCTTTGCATCATTCAACTAAAAAAACTCTTTTGATTTTTCTCTCACGGCAAGCATGTCGGACTTTGTGGTCTTGAACAATTTTAGACTTTAGTAAACACTTGACCATAAAGAGTTTTGATTATAAACTGAAATTAGCATAGGGCACAATATGCATGCAGATGGTCCGTCTTTTTGACCATGCAATTGACCGCTCATTTTGACATTTCCCAGACTGATCGAAGTTTATTACCAAGTCCGTAAGCCGATCAGTTGGTTTGTTGGGTAGGTCATGAATTTTGTCCTGAAGGTCTAGTTTTTCTGTCGGTCAATATTTTATGACCTACTTACGTACACCAGCATCTCAAAAATCTAAGGTGAGATCAAGAGACATCTTTCAAAGACAATAATTAATTTTGAACAGATCTACTTGATTAAGTAACATTAACTAAATAGCACACTTACCAACAATGCCACATGATCTGATTCGGGCTGGTAACCTGCATTTTGCTAATCTCCAATCTCGTATACTCATGACGTCATGCAGCCAGTTCTAATCCCACAGCCATATGAAAAAAATTAAACGTATATAATATAAAAATATTTTTATTTTGAGCCTTCTAATACTTTCCATGCAAAGTCTGTATAATTCAATTGTTACATCATACATCATGGACTGTAATGGTCATCTTAATGGACCACCGTACAGTAGAATGTAGCAATCTAGTTTTTACGTGGGCTGGCAATTTTCCACTTCGCATTCGACATCTTTGATAATAAAAATAACTTCTAAAAAATCCAAACTGGATGTTTTTAGAAAAAAATAGTGTGCTAGAAACGAGTAAGTAAAAAATCCTAAAATTAAAATGTAAGTGGACACAAGCAACCATCACTTTGAAAAACGTTTTCAGGGAAAAAACTTTTCTACTTAAGGATATGGAGGAGCATGGAAGGCTGAAAGCTAAAAGGCAAATCATAAAGTGAAAGTTAAGCGATCGGACATTCCAACTGGTGGCAGACCCGAAGTAGGACCAATACTTTGCGTGAGTCCTCGGCATCCCGGTGGCATAAACGGGATCCCGATGGGAACGGCAGGAGACAGAACGGCGATG